AAATAGAAAAAAGTGAATAAGAAATGAGTAAAAAGAAAATTTATAAAAAACACAAATTTAAAACTTTTCAAAATTTATTGTTTAAGGTCCTTTTAAAGTTAAAAACAAGTTAACAAATATAAGTTTTTAAAAGATAAATTTAAATTTATGAAATATGAATAATGTCAAAAAGTTAAAGTTTTTGCAAGTTTCACTAAACATACTCTTAATGTTTTGAAAGCCATGTTAATAAGTATTAATATTATAAAAAAATAACAGAATATTTCTTTATTTAGATCCTAAATATTTGCTCTATATTTAAAATAATCTTTAAAATTTATACTATAAAAAAAATTGTTAATATGAAAATACCATATTAGATATTTTTCAAAAGTTTAAGGGTGGTTACCCTTGATAGGTTATGTCCCCGATCACAGGTGTATATATATGTATATATTCTGATCGCATAATGGAAAATAATCATTTTTCATCATTTTTCTCATTATACTCGTATGATATGCAACTCGAACTCAGAACTTTTTACTTTCAGTAGAAGAAAATAACCATTAAATTATTTAAATAATTAACTATTTTAATTAAACTACTAATAAAATTAAAATTATTTTTTAATTTTTTAATATAAATTAATAAAAAAATTGTATTATAATCTCTCCTGTGAAAAACTATAACACAAGATACCCATAAATAAATTATAAAATTTACAATAAATATATCATTAACCTATCTTTTATTTTAAACCTCCAATTCCGACAGCTCATTCAATCTACCGAGAGGCAAAACCAAAAACATAAAAATCATGAGAAACGTTTTCTCATTTTTTTTAATGTTTAATAAATGAATAAAATACTAAAGTGGCCATAAATTATATGCCATGGTTTCCATAACTCCTCCCACCATGAAATTGTGATCCTCAAAAATGTCTGCTCTTCAATTCTCGACCTCCTCCAAATCTAACAACATTTCCAGCTTCGATGAGAATCGGTGGGTCATCAACATCCGTCGAACCCTCGAGGAAGAGCTCGAAGACGACGCCCAAGTGCCCGTTTCCATCTTCAACGTTCCCAAGCCACTCATGTCCGCCCATCCCGATTCCTACACTCCCCAAGAGGTGTCCCTTGGCCCCTATCATCACTGGCGGCCAGAGCTGTACGAGATGGAGAGGTACAAGCTGGCTTCAGCAAAACGGGCGCAGAAGCAGCTGCAGTGCCTCAAATTTGAAGATATAGTTCATCAATTGGTCAAGCTCGAGGCTTGGATTCGGGCGTGTTACCACAAGTACTTGGACTTAAGCGGGGAAACTCTGGCTTGGATGCTGGCTGTGGATGCATCATTTCTACTTGAGTTTCTACAGGTATATACTATGCATGATGGAAAGACTTTAACCAGAGTTTCCTCCAGAATGTTGCATCTGGTGGATTATGCGGGGAGGAAATCTGCCCACAACGCGATTCTTAGAGACATGATAATGCTCGAGAATCAAATTCCTCTGTTTGTCCTGAGGAAGATCCTGGAATTCCAATTCCCATCTCTGGAATTAGCTGACGAAATGCTGATGTCCATGTTGACCGGATTCTGCAAGGAGCTTTCCCCATTCAAAATGATGGAGGTCTTTCCGAACATCAATGTCTACAAACATGCTCACATTTTAGACCTGCTCTACGAAATTCTCGTACCGAAGATAATTAACGAATCAGATGAACAGATCGAAGCGGAGGATCAGAAAGATGAAACACAAAGCAGAGGAAGCGGTGCAGCAGAATATAGCTATGTGAGACAGCTCCTGAATGTGGTATTAACTCTTATATTCAAAGTACAGAGAGGCCCCCTGCGTCTCATTAAATTTGTACTCAAATTACCATGGACAATCATCTCCAACTTACCTGGATTCACAATCCTGAGACAGCCGGTGGACTATCTATTCTTTTCACAAAATAAGGAAGAAGTCAAGCCGGAAAACAATAGCGCTACCATTAACAAACCTCCTTTGGTGGAGGAAATCGACATCCCTTCGGTTTCTGAGCTCTTTAAGTCAGGCGTCTGTTTCTCCCCCACAACTGGTAACATCTCCTCTATCAGTTTCGATGTCAACACAGTTACGTTATACCTTCCGACCATCAGTTTGGACGTTAACTCCGAGGTGATCCTGAGGAACTTGGTAGCCTATGAAGCATCAAACGCGTCCGGACCACTGGTTTTCGCGCGATACACAGAGTTAATGAACGGGATCATCGACACCGAAGAAGATGTCAAATTGCTAAGGCAAAAAGGGATTATTTTAAACCGATTAAAGAAAGACGCTGAGGTTGCGGATCTATGGAATGGGATGAACAAGTCCATTAGATTAACGAAAGTTCCTTTTTTAGACAAGGTGATTGAAGACGTTAACAAGTATTATAAGAGCCGGTGGAATGTCAGGCTCCGAAGCTTTGTGAGGCAAAACGTTTATGGTTCCTGGCGATTTCTGACACTGCTCGCCGCAATCTTGCTATTGATCTTGATGACATTGCAAGCATTCTGTTCAGTCTATAGCTGGTCTCGCATATTTCGTATCAATACTACAAGTTCTTGAACACCAAGTCGTTTTTTTTTTTTTTTTGGTTTCAAACATTTAAACATGAATAACTGTAATTGGTTTGTTTGATTGATCTGTTTGTTTTCCAAAATGATGTTGTTCGATTCTTCATGGACAAGTTGTTATGATGTTTTTTCTCTTTAGAACTATAGATGATACTTACCACTTTCGTCATGCTCTATACTTGCCACTTCTGTCAGAATCACATGTATTTTGAAAATATAAAATTTCTTAATCTTGGTTTAATGGGTTTAATTAAAGCAAATCATGCTTTTCTTCTTCCTTCTCTCTTAGTAATTAGTAATATTAATTTGTTTTATGTGCTTTGCTTTAGATTTAGTCATATTCTCTTATAAAGAGAAAGGGTATAACACAGATAGGTATAATGAAGTTGAGTTGCTGCATCGAATCATGTTCCTATGTTTGTATATATTCCTTTAATTTAAGTATATCTGAGGATGTACTATGCAAAAAGCACAACTCTTACTCCTTCCGTCACTTTTTATTTTATTTTATTTATAATTAAAGTGTCTCTAAATTTATTTTTATATACTTTAAAATTAATTCATCTCTAAACAATCTTATGAACACTTCCCACTCATTTTAAGTTTGATTAGGAAACCTCTAATTTGAAATATAAAATTCACACTCTTTGAAGTTTTATCCATATCTCTTGTTTATGGGATATGTTATTTAGTACATGATACTTTTTCTTTTCTTTTTCTCTAATAATTGAGTTCTCAATGTATTAAATCAGCCATCTTTTCCCACTATCTCTGTTTTTATATGAGCAAATAATTGAGTATGTTTAACCATTAAAAGTTTTGAAACTTTAATCTTAATCTCTTAAAATCAAAGTTACCGTAAAATTAGTCTTTTTGGTATCGGTATTTTTAAGACTAAAACTGGACTACAGATCATTACTATCAAGAACTCGTATACATTTGTGAATGAAGCCCTCCAATTGCTTGAATTCAACCATGGCATTCCATCAATAATTAGCAAAAAAACCAAGCAAACATTGGACAAATTTTATTTTAAATTGTTTCACATGAAGTTTTTTATATGACCAAAATTAAGCATGAGAAATTAACGATTCAATTCTAGATTAAAACAATTTATTAGCTAAATTGGATTTTTTTAAAATTTAAATCTTATTAATTAACTCTAGAAAAAATTTAATTATAAATTAATAATATATTTAACCTAAGAGAAATAAAATAAAATTTTTTAATCAAATTAAATATAATATTTAAAAATATTATAATTTGATTAATTAAAAAACTTACTCTTTCTTTCCTCTCTTCTTCTCAAGTCATATACTATATCATAAAAGCTTGAAGGCCAAATTTGAAAAGAAAAATAATTTAAGGGCCTAGTTGAAGATATTTCCCATGAGTTTTAGTCCTCCTCCTCCTTCCCTAATAATTTCCGCGCGTGCTGTCTGCTGCTTGCTGCCTGCTGCCTGCAAACACTCGCCCTTTCTCTCTAACGCAATGGCGGCCTCAACTCAATTCAACGCGGGAACCGTACGATCACCTTTCCGCTTACAATCTGTATCGAAAAAGTCCCCGAAGCCGACCAGGATTAGCTGCTCCGCCGCTACGCCCGCCAAGCGCTACAGCATTACTCTCTTACCTGGCGATGGAATTGGTCCTGAAGTTATCTCCATCGCAAAAAATGTCCTCAAAGTCGCCGGCTCTCTCGAAGGTGCCCTAAAATATTTTTTGTCGCCTTCTTTTTTGATTGCTTGCAAACTTATTGAAAATCGTACCGTCCAAAGCAAATGCTAACATTTTGGATTTTAAGGATTTTAGTGTTTATTATAGTCCTGGAGCTCAGCGATTTGTTGGGCTTGTGTGTGAACATCTGTGTGGATGTATAGCAAAATGTGGGAATAATGATTTGAATATAAACTCTGAATTGGATTGTGAAAGTAGAATCAAACGAGAAGTTTATTGATAAACCCTAAACCCAGAATCTCATTGGTTAGTATTGGGTAGGAGAGATGAAAAGGGGGAAGCGTTGTAGAATATTGTTTGATTGACTGCAAAGCTCACTAAAACCACTGAATTACTATTCTTCGGCAAATATTTAAATGTCTTAATTTAAGGTGCCAAATAACTAAAAGTTTAATATTTTGAAAGTTACCCAATGGTTGGTAGCTTGTTTGGCAAGGGGGTTGTTCTTCATCTTGTTGACCAAGGTCCGATCCTTAGGGTGGATACAGGGAGGTAATTCTTCACAAATTCCCTAATTCTAATGAGGATGGCTGCCCTTGACTGTAGATTGTATTATCCAAAAGGATATTTTTCAGTTTGTTTCTTCTAAATTTCCTCCATTGTCCAAACAAAATGACAAGCAAAACTTCAACCAAGCTATGTGTATGCAAATGATGGTTTCTTGGGTAAATTTGATGTTTGATCTTTTATCTCTTTCTGCAGTTTCTCCTTAATCTATATTTAAGATTATCAGAAGTCTTTTCAAAATTTCAGTTGTCTTTGCTTTGAAAGTGAGGCAAAAGAAAAAACTAATAAAATGCATTTTTTTGCCTTTTGTTTTCTCTTGTTCTGGCTACGTTTTTTTACTTTAAAAAAAATTACTTTTCCTCTCCAATCATTTTGTATTGACAAATACTAAGATTTCTTTTTTTGTATAACAAGTTCATGATTGAATTTTTTTTTTTTTTTTTTTAATTAGAAGAAAACATTTAGGTCTGGTAGTAGGCTTTCTTTAATTCTATATATTCTTTGATATGTATCAGGGATTGAATTTCTCTTCCAAGAGATGCCCATGGGTGGAGCTGCTTTGGATTTGACTGGAGTTCCATTACCAGATGAAACCCTTTCAACTGCAAAAAGTTCCGATGCTGTTCTCCTTGGAGCAATTGGAGGGTATTCCTCCATGCAATTTCTTGTTGATTTTTACTTTATGAATTGTTGGTTGATATTTCCTTCACCTTTTTCTTTGTTTAACAATTAATATTGATGACTTATTATTTTACCATTTGCCCTCAAGCTATAAATGGGATAAAAACGAAAAACATTTGAAGCCAGAGACTGGTTTGCTAAAGCTTAGAGAAGGTCTTAAAGTCTTTGCAAATTTAAGACCAGCTACTGTGCTACAACAGGTAATGATTGGTTTAGTGAAATTTAGAAATATCCTTTCTTTCGCTGCATAATTTGCCCATCATCAGAAATTTAAATTTTGTTGATGTCTGAACAAATAGCAGCATGAAATTTGGACTGTGCCAAGGTAAGTAATTAGTATTATATTCTTTATAAGTTGTATTCATTATGCAACAGTTGATGAATTGGAACTGTGATGTCAACTTTGTTACACAGCAAAAATGGCATTAATCTTGTCTGCATCAAATTCAATCTTATTTTATTTTATTTTTTTTGGGGGTGGGGCAAGGCCAAGTTGTTGTTCAGATAAAAATGAACTTAACATAATTTTGGAGATTCTGTTCATTCTACTTAGGCACTGAAGTTGGCATATGAGGAGTTTCATTTTTATTTTTCTCTCTATTTTGATGGAAATGTTAATTAGTTTTCTTCTAAACAAAGGGCATTTCTAATGCCTACCCCATTCAGGGAGAAAAATAGAATTAAGATTGCTTAGGATTGCTTGAATCTAATTTGTTGAATTTGAATGCATTTGCATGCACTACTGTGTTTGTGCATATGTGAGTATACATTTTATTTTCAAATCCATTGGCGTTAAAGGTGTCCTTTATTATATGCTGCTTCAGTTGGTGGACTCTTCAACTTTGAAAAAAGAGGTTGCTGAAGGTGTTGACCTCATGGTTGTAAGGGAGCTTACTGGAGGTCAGTGTACATCAGATAGAAAATAGGATCACATGATTTGTCTGTGTCCTCTTTTCCCATATATAGAATCAGCAACAACTTTTTGTTGGAATCAGGTATATATTTTGGAAAACCAAGGGGTTTTAGCACAAATGAAAATGGGGTGGAGATTGCCTACAATACGGAGGTCTATGCTGCCTATGAGGTAGTTCTCTTATGAGTTTTCCTCTTTTTGTTTACTTATTTTAAAATTGCTCTGGCTGTGATATCTGGGAGATATGGTTTGAATCAAATTAACTCTGTCCAAATCCTTTGAAACTTGAGTTGAAGGGTGGGTATATTATCAGATAATTGCAACTCTTTGTCCAAGAATTGCAAATATTCAACTGGAATCTGGCTGTTTCTTTTCAGTGAAACTTATATGATTGTTGCTGTCAGCTGTGGCTTTTCTCTTTCCTTAAAGATTTCTTTAAGATTTGGATTGCAATGCAATCCTTGGAATTGGCCTACATTGCCTACAGTGCAATGAACCCTTTACTTTCTTATTTGTGTCTTGCACTTACATATGACAAATGAGCCAAAAAATGAAAGAAAGAAAGAAAGAAAGAAAATTTTAACAGAAAGTTTCTGTTCAATTAGTGTAAATTTTCCTGAAGGAACTTCTAGCTGAGCAAGTGAATTATCATGGATTTTGATTATCTTCTAATCCTTCAAGTACTCAAATTTAATGTGGTCTATAATTTGCAGTATCAACGAATGCGAAATAATTATTTTTAAGTGTTTACTACTCTCTGGAGTAGATTCAGACTAATTTTGTTTGCTATATCAAGTTTGGTATACTGTAAACTAGTTGCATTTTTCTTCTTCTGCTTGTGTCATCTCATCATAATTATAAACCAACAGTAAGTTTCCATTTTTTTTACTGAATGATGACCTAGTCTGAATTAACCAAACACCAAAATTGTGAAAATCTTATTCATTAACCAACCAAAATTGATTTTTTTTTTTTTTTTACTGACCATACCCAAGTAATGATAATTTCTTCATTTTGGTCATTTTTGATTACCTAATTTGTCTCACCCCTATTGGGCATTTATCTAGTCATTTTGAAACTATAGATTTTAGCTGGATTACTGCTGAGATTTTCTTTCAGCTGCTGTATTTGGAATGAAGACCCAAACCTTGGCATCTGAAAAACCTTACTGCTTCGTTTCTCTCAATTCTATTTTATTTCCTTTTATTTTAACTTGGCTTCAGTTCCTCTTCCACATCAATTACTAAAGAACAAGTGATTCATCATTGTTGTTGTTAACATTTTCACCATCTTCATTGATAAAGTTCCCTTCTAAGTTTGTAACTAAATGGGAGGCCCAAGAAATGGTCTGCAGAAATGTAAGTTTGCCACACTCTCAACTCTCAGCAGTCAAGTTGGAGTCATATACTTAAATCGATGTTATATTTATTATTCACGTGAAAAATACTGTTGATAAATTCATATTTTTGTTATTCTTGTGGATAGAATTAAAGTATTAAATAGTTGTTAGTATTTTTAATGGTTCTTCACTCTTCTTTTTGGATGGTCTCTGTCCTTTATTTGTTGAACTCCTCTGGTTATAATTATCTTTTCTTTTTGGGTAATTGTTATTAACTGTTCAAATAAACAAATGCATGCCAGATTGATCGTATTGCTCGTGTTGCATTTGAGACTGCAAGGAAGCGGCATGGAAAACTCTGCTCTGTTGACAAAGCTAACGTTTTGGAGGTTTGTTGTCTTAATATAACTATATATTTTTCCTTCTCTTTTCTGTGATTAATCTCGGGGTATTGCATTATAATATGCTTTTTGCCTTGTGCTATTTGGCTGTCATTATTTCGAAAACAATGTTCTCTATTCACCAGACTTCCTCATACTTGTTTAAAATATTGGAACCCTTTACATGCATCTAGCCTTACAAAAATAAGCTTGTTTGCTTCTCTACTGTATCTTTGGAACGCTTCTACCTTCATTAGAAGCTAGTTTAGTATGTCCACAGTCCTGTGAGGCTACTGCTACCAAGCAGTTACTGGAAAGATTCATTATTGTGTGGATGGAAACAAAGATACTCACGCAAACTTGAGTTATTTCTTTTCTCTTCTTTTTTCATTTTGGCTGAGTTTTGTTCCATGAGTTTCATTGTTAGTGATGATGAAATTTTAAGGCTCACCAATATTCTATTTATTTTAGGCACTGCTTATGTAGATGTGTTTGGTGATCATGTATGCAAAATAAATATGAAGAGTATTAGAGTATATTTGGACTTTATTAATGAATTGCAGTAATCTTATTGCCTGATGTCTGTGATCATATGCAATGTGTAGGCATCAATGTTTTGGAGAAAAAGAGTTACAGAAATAGCAACTGAATATCCTGATGTTGAGCTGTCACACATGTATGTTGACAACGCGGCAATGCAGCTTGTTCGCAATCCAAAACAGGTTTGTCTTAAAAAGAAAATGGCGGGGAATTGGCATTTCAGTTTATGTGTCTACAATGTGAAAACTGAAGTTTTAATTTGAAATATTACAGTTTGATACAATTGTGACAAACAACATTTTTGGTGACATTTTATCCGATGAGGCTTCAATGATCACTGGAAGTATAGGGATGCTTCCATCAGCAAGTCTTGGTGAATCTGTATGACAAATTGAGTTGTTTTTATAGTTTTTTAATTTTTTTCTTCATATTCTGTACATTTAAGATTTAACAATATTGAGAGATTCCAATTTAAACAGGGACCTGGACTTTTTGAACCCATACATGGTTCTGCTCCTGACATTGCTGGACAGGTTGTCATTACTTTTGTTTATTCATTTGCCTTATAAAAAAAAATGAATTTTAATGTGGAAAATTATGGTCTGATTTGCAGGATAAGGCAAACCCATTGGCGACGGTGCTTAGTGCTGCAATGCTTTTGAAGTATGGCTTAGGAGAAGAAAATGCTGCCAAGAGAATTGAGAATGCAGTATTGGATGCCCTTAATAGGGGATTTCGAACTGGTGACATATATTCACCAGGAAATGTATGTTCCTTCTTAATCCCATTTAACCTCTTCTTCTTGTCCTTGTTTTCTTTTTCCTTTTATTCTGTGGAAAGAGCACTTCTTTTTTTTGGAGAGTGGAATTAGAATGGTACTTTGTTGTTGTTGCATCTTACCAATGGATCTAGCATCTTAGGCTAACCTGTCCAAAGCTCACATGAAAACTAAGATGTCTTAATCCCAGAAACATCCAGATAATAGAACTATTTTAGTTTAGCAGTTTACTTTGGCTAACTGATTCTGCCACCTTTTATCTTGTTTGTTCCTATGCCTTCAATCTGGAAGGTTTACCATTTTGAATCATATATCCTTTACTTTCATATTCTCCCTGTGAATCTTGTCTTAAATAATGTCTGTGGCTAAAACTTTGCTGACACAGAAACTGGTGGGATGCAAGGAGATGGGTGAGGAGGTACTCAAATCAGTAAGCTCCCAAGTTCCTTCTGCTGTCTTGAACTAAAAAATTGCGAACACCAAAACATGAGGCTCCAGACGGTTCTAGGATGTGTGATATCAAGAGAATCTGAAGTGTCAAAGGTAATGATGCTTGGTGGAGAATTCCATTTTGCCTCTAAGATGGAATTTCCTCTAACTTATCGATGCCTAGAGTCTTTTCGCAATCTTGGGATTTTACATTATGTTGTATTAGACATCATTTATCTATCAATTGCTGTTAAGAGATTGCTCACAAAGTGATGCAGTAATAACATTCACCATGATGGAGGTGTAAAACCTGCTGCTTTAAGAAATTTTCAATCTGTTTTCTAATGTCGGATTCTTTTCTTTTCTTTTCTTTTCTTTTTTTTTTTTGATACATTTGAATGGATTATGTAAGAGGAGATAGTTATCTCCACTCGATTTAAGGTTCCAACTTAAAGTTTCTAATTTAAGATTTCAAATTCTTAATTACTGAGTACTCATATCTCATTCCATTATTAACCGTTGGTTTTTTTTATTTTTTTGTGGCATCTTGGCCAAAAAAGCCTGATCCGCCGGTTGCGGTTGCTGGCGGGCGCTTTTTTTTTTACGGTTTCGGGCCCAAACGCCCAGCCCTAGTTGGCAGCATGCCGAAAAGGGCAAATTAGCCCCTCAACTGAAAAATGGTGGCTTTTAAACCCTCCTTGGAAGGTAGCAAAACAGTGCTTATGGTACGTCCTCTTAAATTGGGGATTCTGGATTTTGGTTGAAATTGGTCTGAGAATTCAACCGCTTGTCTTCCTTCCCTCGTCTTTAAACGCCCATGGGCCATCCCACTTTCTTCTCACTCCCCAAAGGCTCTACTCTCTTTCTTTTCCAGAGCAGGGAATTCATGCCGGACCCCCACCTTGCAGCGGCTCATTCACATCTAGTCCGACATAATAGTCCAAAATTGAGTTGATTCGACCTAGTCAGGACCAACTCAGTTCCATCCAGGGAACGAGTCAAGGATTTTTGAGACTTGCAGCCTTTTGAAACCGGCCGACTTCAAAAGGCAAACCTGGTAAACTCCACAAACTAAGATTTTTGAAATTTTGAGTTATATATATATATATTTTCTGCAAATTGACCTTGTTATTCAATCCTACTTATGTCTAAGGGAAATGCTATTAGATAACTTTTTGTCTCATTTTTTTTTATAATTTGAATGTTAATAAAATAATTAATTTTTTTTAATTTATGTAGGATTCATAATATTAAATATATTAACTCATTTAATGATATGTAAAAATTGTATAAAAAAATAACAAAAAAGTTAAAATTTTACTTGGCATTTGGAATTCAAATTGGTAGATAGATTTATTCTCTTTTTATTTATTTTTATGTATCATTTAGTCTCCCTCTTTAACACCTTGATAATCAGAA